GAAATTGGATGTTTTAATTGTGGTTGTTGAGGAGATTGAAGAAGGACAATGAGCTTTACATTTTCAATTTGAGGGAAGGAACTAGAAGGAGGACTTTTGATTGTTGTTTTTGATCCAACTACCTTTGATACCAAGTGTTTTTGTAAAAAATTTGAACGTGATGGTGTGCCTTGTAGGCATATGATTTGGGTGTGGAAGGCAAGGATGTTAGAAAAAAATTCCCAAGGCCTACATTCTAAATAGATGGTGTACAATGGCTTATAAGAAGCCCATTTTTTGATTTAGAGGGTAATGTGTTGGAGGAATGTATTAATGCAGTAGATAAGAAAATGTTATTAAATGATTTGTGGTCTGAAATTCATGCTTGTGTGAGTTTAGTGCAAAACAATGAAGATGATCTTAGTGATCTTGTCAAAAAACTTCGAGCCATGAGGGCAGATTTGGAACAGAAGAAAAACAAATGGAAGCAACAATCTTTCGAGCAAAGTTAAAGACATTGAAATGCTTATTGGAGCTAGTCTACCTTCTAATGTTTTAATCAAACCTCCTAAAATTTCGAAGAACAAAGGCACGGGGGTTCATGTTCCAAATCAGGTCAATGTTCCAAATGATGTCCATGTTCCAAATCAGGTTCATGTTCCAAATCAGGTAAATGTTCCAAATGATGTCCATGTTCCAAATGATGTCCATGTTCCAAATGAGGTTCATGTTCCAAATAGTGACAAAAGAATGAAGAGTGACAGAGAAAAGTCTATTGAACAAAGTCAAAAGAAGAAGAGATTATGTAGAGCATGTGGGGAGCTTGGTTATCATGATAGTCGTAATTGCCCTGGAAAAGTCAAGTGATATTGTAAGTAAACTTTATTTTTAATTTTCTTATATTTATTTTGTTCTAAAGTAATTATGTTTTAAGCAAGTTTAGAACATAAAGTTATTCATATATGTTCTAAAGTAATTCAATATGTTCTAAAGTGTTTTTCTCTTTGTTCTAAAGTTACTTTTTCTATGTTCTAAAGTGTTTTCTCTATGTTCTAATGTTTATTCTTTCTGTTTTAGTGTAATTTAATATGCTCTAATGTTTAGAATATAAAGTTATTCATTTTGTTCTAAAGTTTTCCTTTATATTTTAACTTTTCTCTTTATGTTCAAAATATTTTCTTTATATGTTCTAAAGTTTTCTTTATATGTTTTAAAGGTTTCTTTAAATGTTCTAAAGTTTTTACTCTATATAATATCATGTGTTCTAAACTAATAGAAATGGCATGTTATAACATTTTTTAATGCTAAATTATGTGCTTATGTTCTAATATTGTTTTATTTTTTTTTCTTTACAGGTTGGTGAATATACTATTAATCCAGTTGCATGAGATGTTATATATTTAGAAACAATATCTCATTTACTAGCACGTAAAATATTATTCATGTAATTCTTAAAATATAAGAACTCAATTTATTTACTTTTAGAAACAATATATTTTTATTTCTTTTTTGTCCAATTATTATTCAGAGTATCTCTACTAGTGTTTTTCTTATCAATTTTTATGTTAATTAAAGTTGATTATAATGTTTTATAACATCTCCTGTCTTTTCATCTTCCCCCCTTTTCGTAATTATAAGTTGTTTTATTAAGTCAATTTGAACTACGAGTAATGATAGTACAAGCATTTTAGATACCTTTATTAAACAACATTTAGTTGAATCTTGCTTTAATCAACTTTTATTTATTCAAGTTTCTTAACATTGATTTACATATGCCTTCTTAGATATGCACTAAAGAGTGTATGCATTGTATTCAAAAGGAAAAATAAAGCAAAAGTAATGGATTAGAAGCAGCCAGTTTAGAACATAAGCAAATACTTTAGAACATAGATAAAAATAATTAGAAGATTAGCAAAATCAATAATTTGGACATGTAATAAGAAAAAAGTACAACATAATAAGATATAATTAGAATCAAGTTACCAATTGAATGCTTTGGAATCTTGTTACTTTGGCTGTTGTCATTTCTTGTTACTTTTTTTTTAATTTTCTTATGTTCTAATGTTCTACACTTTAAGTTTTAAGTCAAAATTAATATATAATAATATATTCTAATATCCTAACTTTATAAGCATATAATTATTAAAACATAATCAAAAATACTTTAGAACATACCCATATAATTTAGAACATGAATATAATTTAGCATATAAGTTTATATGATATATTTTATATTAAAATTTTAGCATTTAATATGATTCAACAATATATTTCTTGTAACAGGTAAATACATAGAACATAAAAAATTACTGTTATATTCTTTGCAAATATCTCTCTACAAATATAAACTTAAGATCTTAACAATCATATATCCATTTTGTTCTCCTTTGACCACTTTTTTGATCTCCTAATCACTTTGTTCCGTTCTTCATTTACTTCTGCTGTTATTATCTTCCCACAATACTCCACTCTTAATTTTTTCATTTGGTCAAACTGCAAAAAAAAAAAAAAAAAAAGAGTAACTTTTAGAACATAAACATAAACATTTGGTCAAACTGCAAAAAAAAAAAAAAAAGAGTAACTTTTAGAACATAAACAGAAATACTTTAGAACATAAGCATATAATTTAGAACATGAATATAATTTAGCATATAAGTATAAATAAATATAATAAACCATAATATATCTAAACAATAACCAAACCAAACCACAACACTAAAACCATAACACCAAAACCATAAACGAAACTAATTTAAAACATGTATCTTATGTTTTAAACTTACATTGTCTAATTCTAGTCCCGAATTCCATTGTTTTACAGATTCTCCTTCATATGTTTCCATGTGCTTCAACAGGAACACTCCACAATCATGTTTGTTGTTATTGCTCTTCCATGACATACTCAAGTTTCTTGTTTTGAAGGAGGATACAAAGTCACTCTTTATATTTGAGTCAATTGAGTGAACGAAATCAGCAAATGCATTCAACTGAAAAATTGGATAAACTTTAGAACATATAAGGTAAACTTTAGAACATAAAGAAAAACTGTAGAACATATAAGGCAAAAGTTAGAACAAAAGTATAATTAAAAAAATGTAAACTTGATGTCTTACCATTAATCTATGGTAATTTCCATATTTATTGTGAAAAGGAATATTTGGTGGAAGAAATCTGTTGTCAATCAAATCAAATGTTCCTTCCACAAAGTTGACACACAGCAAATAGTAGTGATCTGGTAAAACGACCGGGAAGAAAACCTAATAGATAAACAGAATTAGAACATAGATAAGCAAAATTAGAACATAAGCATGCATTTTAGAACATAAGCATATAGATTAGAACACAAGCATATAATTTTTATAACATGTAGTTTAGAACATAAGTAAGTAGTTTAGAAGATAAATAAGTAGTTTAGAACATAAGTAGATACTTTAAAACATAGATAAAAATAATTAGAACATAAACAAAACCAATAATTAGAACATATAATAAGAAAAAAGTACAACATAATAAGATACCAAATTACCAATTGAATGCTTTTGAAGCTTGTTACTTCGGTCGTTGTCATTTCTTGTTGCATTCTATCAAACAAAGCCTTCATTCTATCATCTTGCCTTTCATTTGATTTGAAGTATTTTTCTGTACAACGTATGAGCTGAAAAAGAAAAAGAAATTAAAACATAAGTAATTAGAACATAGGTGCATAGTATAATCTATATGAGAAACAAAAAGAATCTACTCTTAGAACATAGTTATAATTTTAAGTTCGAAAACATACATAGCATTCAGTACTGAAAAAGAATCTACTCTTCTTGTCTACACCACGTCTTTTATTTTCAAAATTCAATAGGCAAACATAAGCATCCACAACATTGTTCAACATGTGCTTATCTTCTATGAGACTATGAATCTCATCTCTCGTAATCGTTGTCCCCATGTTATCAGCATACAAAAGCTCCCTAAAATCAGAACATTAAAATCAGAACATAAGCATGTAGTTTAGAACATAAGCATGTAGTTTAGAACATAAACACATAATTTAAAACATAAGAATATATTTTAGAACATAAGTACCTATTTTAGAACATAAGCATATAGTTTTACACATGTACTTTATAACATAATCTCGTAGCTTAGAACACGCAGTTTAGAACATAAGAATGAAGTTTAGAACATAATTTATAGCTTAGATCATAAGCATATAGCTTAGAACATAAGCATATAGCTTCGAACATAAGCATATAATTTTAAAGTTTTAAAGTCTTACTTATTATCTCCTTGAGCAAACGCATACTCAGCTACCTTTCTATTGTCCACATTCTTGAAAAGTTTTTCATGTTCAACCATGAAAGGTGAACGCAAGTACATTGGAAGCTTATCCTTTCCTCTTTTTTTCCGTGTCTTTTCTTCTCCTTTTTCTTCTCCTTGTTTCCTACTTAATTCAATTAAAAAATATCACATAGATAACAAAAACCATAACTAAATCAAACGAAAATTTATTGATAACAAAAACCATAACCAAATCAAACCAAAATTTATTATTACCAAGTTCTAAATTAAAATTTAACTAAACCATAACCAACATTTGTTTTAAAGTTTACAAAATGATTACCCTTTCTTGTTCTCATTTTTTTCTTCTTTGTTCTTCTCTTCATTCTTGCTTCCTTCATTTTCTTTCTTCTCCTCTTGATTCTCCTCTTTTTCCTCCTTTTTCTTCTTCCCCTTTTCTTCTCTCTTCTCCTCTTGGATCTCCTCTTTTTCCTCCTTTTTCTTCTTCCCCTTTTCTTCTCTCTTCTCCTCTTGGATCTCCTTTTTTTCCTCCTCTTTCTTCTTCCCCTTTTCTTCTTTCTTCTCCTCTTGCTTCTCTTCTTTTTCCTCTTCTTTCTTCTTCTCCTTTTCTTCTTTCTTCTCCTCTTTTTCCTCTTCTTTCTTCTCCTCTTTTTCCTCTTCTTGCTTCTCCTCTTCATCCAATGTAGGTGGATGATCTGGATTTAGAAAAGCACAATTTAGAACATTTGCTGTCACTTCTTCGTAAGTGAGTTCTGCTTCATTATCTTCTTGATTTTCTGGGACATCAAACCATAAGTAGAAACAATAAGGACACAACATAGAAATAGTTGGAAAAAATTTAGAACATTAGAAATAACTAGAATATAACCAGAAAAATTTAGAACACAAGAAGTAACTTTAGAACATAACTAATTTACAACATAATTATATTATTTAGAACATATGCACATAATTTAGAACATAATCATACAATTTAGAACATATGCACATAATTTAGAGCATAACTAATTTCAAACATAATCATATTATTTAGAAAATATGCACATAATTTAGAGCATAACTAATTTAGAACATAATCATATTATTTAGAAAATATGCACATAATTTAGAGCATAACTAATTTAGAACATAATCATATTATTTAGAACATATGCACATAATTTAGAACATAATCATATTATTAGAGCATATGCACATAATTTAGTACATAATCATATAATTTAGAGCATATGCACATAATTTAGAACATAAGAAAGTAGTTTAAAACATAAGCATCTGATTTAGAAAAAATTTAGAACATCAGAAATAACTTTAGAACATAACAGAAAAAAATTTATAACATAAGAAGTAATTTTAAAACAAATCTAGTAATATTATTTCAAAAGAAAAAAGTTTGAAAATAATGTAAAACTACCAACTGCTGGTGAGGGGGTCAATAACTTGAAACTTGGAGGAGTTATATCAAAAGGTTGCTTCTTTTTTGGAGGAATTGGGGTTTTTGGTGACTCCTCATTCCTTTTCTCTTTCTTCTCAATTTTTTCCTCCTCGTTTCTCTCTTTTCTGTACTGCTCTTTTTCTTCTTCTTTTGATCCCAAATCTTCATAGCAATTACACCATAAAAATTAAGTATTATAGCAAATAGCAAAAAATAATTAGAAAATAAAAAGTAACTTTAGAACATAAGAAATATATACAATTAGGAGACAACCTAGAAATAGTTAGAATATAAAAAATTAAGAATTAACTTTAAAGCATAACCAGAAAAAATTTAGAGCATAAGAAGTAATATTAGAACATATCTAGTAAATATTAGTACATAAAAAATGAATTTGAAAATAATGTGAAATTACCAACTACTGGTGAGGGAATCAACAAGTTTTTTTCTTTATTCTCTTCATTTCTCTCTTCTTTGTTCTTATCTTTTTCCTCTTCCTTTGATCTCAAATCTGCTTAACAATTAGAACATAACTAATTTAGTACATAACTAATTTAGAACATAACTAATTTAGAACATAATCATATAATTTAGAACATAAGCATGTGATTTAAGCGCATGTTTTAGAACATAAAAAAGTACTTTAAAACATAAGCATCTAATATAGAACATAAGTATAATTTGGAAATTAAGCATGTACATGTGAAATTACCAACTGTCGGTGACTTTGGTGACCTTGTTTCCTCGAATTTCTTCCATGCCTTATCCATAACCATATCCAATTCTTCAATAAATGCCGGTTCATCGAAGACATGTTGATCTTGGCTGAGTATAGAAGGGCTTTTCTTTTCTTCTTGGTTCACGAATGTCTATAAAATAAGAAATTATAATTTAGAACATAATATGCATAATATTTATATAAATTTATTATACTTTAGAACATAAGCTGAAAATACTTTAGAACACAACCAGAAAATACTTTAGAACATAATTATAATACCTTTGTTGTGTACTTGCACCATATGTTGTCTATGAGATGTTGCATTTTTCCTGTTGTTTCTTCCTCAACAAAAAGATCTTTTGCTTGTTCTAACATGCCATACATCTCTTTAACATTCGAGGCAAGTGTTTTTGCCAAATCTCCAAATTTGCTCAAAAAGCCCTTCATTAGAACACAAAAATATTTCAGAACATAAAGGACATAACATGGATAATTTAACAGAAAAGGATTAAATGGAGCATAAAATATAATTTACAATATAAACTAAATCATACCATCATGTCATTTCGAGAAGTTGTAGAACTAGAACCTATTGATGATTTTTCCATTCTCTTCTCTTTTTCCTTTTGTTTTGGTTGTCTCTTTTTTCCTTTTGGTGCCTTCTAGTATATAAATTATAAAATTTAGAAAACAACAACATAAAGTGTAGTGTTTAAACATAAACATATACAAATATCATACCACAATTGATTCCATTCTTTCCAAGAGTTTTCCATATCCAAATCCATGATCTTTTTCAAACTTATATCTCACTTGAATCCTTTCCTTTGTCCACACCGAAATTAGTGGACATTTTCTTGGTTTTTCTAACCCTCCTCTTTGTAGACGATCAAAATAGAATACCTATTTAGTACATGTTAAGAATTAATTAGAATATTTTTCACACATTTTCAACATAACAAGAATAATATATATACATAATGGTAAGAATTTAAAACTTACCATTAGAAAAGGTAAAGGACCTGTAAAGTAAGAATTTCCCTTCTTCCATACACTTACAGAATCTTTCAAGTGCTCAATCACAAATGTGCACCAATCCAATTCAGCAATTTTTTTTACATCCATACAACTATACAAGAATTTAATGTATAGTTGTGGGTTGTTTGTTGATCGAATGCAACAATTGACAACACATACCACAAAGTTCCAAAGAAATTCATCAGAAACTGATTTTTCCTTCTTCAATTCTTGAATTCTGTCAATCAATCTCTTGTTGGTTGGACTTCCCTTTTAGAGGTAAAAAAAAACATATAAATTAAAACCTATGGAGATAATAGATCTATTTTAAAGCAAAAAACACTTTAGAACATAAGCAAAGCACTTTAAAACATACAATTTATAACATAAAATTCATACTTTAGAACATAAAATTTAAAACATAACCACATTATATCATCATACTTTTTTGAGGCCAAACTTGCTTCTCCAAGCTTTTAGAAACTTGCTCCATTTCAGATTTGACTCATCATTTGGTTGCTCAATCCTTTTGCCTCCCAATGGCAACCCATAAGCCAAATGAACATCAATTGCCTCCAAAAAGATTTCTTGTTTTGTCTTTGGTAACATCAAACAACATCTCTCCGTGTCAAAATTCGTAACCAAGTTTTCTGTCAACCTAGAATTATAATGAAAAATGTAAGATTTAAAGCACAATACAGCTATATTTAGAATATAATAGTCAATCTTTAGAACATAGAAGATTAAAACATTTAGTATAATATTTAAACTTTTGAACATAATTTAGAACATTATATAATAAAAAAAGTCTATTTTAGAACATAATAAACATACATTAGAACATAACAAAAAATTAATTTAGAACATTAGTGTATAGCAATTCAAACATGAGAGTTCATAATTTTAGAATACAAGAAGTAACTTTAAAACATAAGTAATTTACAACATAATCATATTATTTAGAACATATGCACATAATGTAGAACATAATCATACAATTTACAACATATGCACATAATTTAGAACATAGCTAATTTCGAACATAATCATATTATTTAGAACATATGCACAAAATTTAGAGCATAACTAATTTAGAACATAATCTTATAATTTAGAACATTAGTGTATAGCAATTCAAACATGACAAATCATAATTTTGAACATAACATTGATAATACTTATGATTTTAGAATATGATTTTAGAACATAACATTCTACTACTTACGTAGAATTAATATGGATTGGTAAATCCAATTCCAAAAAGCCTCCAAAACCAATGTTCCGAATAGCTTGCTTTTGTTTTTCCGAAAGATTTATCAACACATCCTTCATGAATTGAGCAGGAGGTACTCTTTGATAAGGTTGCCTCTTAACTAGTTTATCTTGCTCATTAGCTTCTACTACTTGGACATCCTCACCATCTTCTTCTTTTTCAATCTTTCTTTTCTTCTTCTTCACATCCTCACCATGAATAGATAAACATAATTAGAACATAGATAAGCAAAATTAGAACATAAGCGTGCACTTTAGAACATAAAAATAAAGATTGTAAAGATTAAAGAGTATTATTACCTGAGTTTGATTTTTTTTATTGATTTTTTGTTCCTCCTCACTATCATCTTCCATCTCCTCTTTTTCATCTTTCTCTTTCATCTTTACATCACCCTTATTATCATCCTCACCATCATCTTTACTATCATTATTCTTGTCATCATCCTCTACATTATTACCCTCTTCTTCTTTTTGATCTTTTCCTTCTTCTTGATCTTTTTCTCTTCCTTTCTTTTTTTGCAATTTTCGAGGTGGTTGAAGCCTTGTTGGAAGTTTTCTATGTCTTATAGCAATACTTTTACTTTCAATATGCTTCTCAAATTCCGATCTATCAATTACTTCCGCTTCAACGTTTTCAACTTTCCTTTAAAAACAATCAAAAATAATTAGAATATTATTAACATTAAATAGAGTGCAAATATAAAGGGATAAGATAAACATAAACTATAATGGATACATTTTAGAACATAATACAAATCTTCAGAACATAAGAGAAAACTTTAGAACATAATGGAAAACTTTAGAACATAATGGAAAACTTTAGAACATAATACAAATCTTTAGAACTTAAGGGAAAACTTTAGAACATAATGAAAAACTTTAGAAAAAAATTTAAAACATAATAGGTAAAGTTTAGAACATTAGTTTAGTTACCTTTTTCTTACATAAGTAATTTCTTCTTCTTGTATATTAGTAACTCCTCCTTCTGATTTTTCTTCATTTTGGCCTTGCATTTTGCTGCAATTTTAAGAAATAAAAAACATTAGTAACATTCCAACATTATTATTATATTTTTGAACATAGGAATGATTTAAAATATGCTGAAAAATAGTTTAGAACATGCTAAAAAAGAGTTTAGAAACTCATATGTACCAGAAAAGGTATTACTCTTCCTTAATTGTATGCAGAGGTTAGCTTTTGGTCTTGCAAATTTAGACAACCTACTGGTAGTTTCTAGCAATTTAATGCGATTTTTTTCAAGGTTTAACCGGTAATTTCTTGTTCATTTTCCTGTTTTATTTTCAACTACTATAATTCTTATCTCATTATGTAAATCATAGAGCATTCTTCTTGTGAATTCATCAAGGCCTTGCATTATATTGCTTATTATATATGTTATGAAGATCTACATTTGTATTGGTTACCTAAATAATATTAGTTTGCTGCTATATTAAAAATCTTTACTCTATATAAGAGTATAACAAAGCTATATTTAGCTCACTTTTCTATATAATCTTGACTGGAAAACTATCACCCAGAAAACTATCACTTGACTGCTTGATTGAAGGATTTTTGGCAATCAAGCAGAATATTCAGAGTACAAACTATCACCCAGAAAACTATCACTTCACTGGATATGCAATCTTTGATTCACAATTTCTACAGGATTCAAAATCAGTTAAATTTAACAAAACTAACAGTTTTCAACAAGTTCTATAGCTTTCCTTTTAATTCAGAGTACAATAATCTATGCTACCACTCATATTTTCTATGAAGCTTATTAGGTACCAAGTTATAAGTCTGCTAGACTAATAAAAGTGTATACCCATTACCCAGTTGGACAGTTAGCCCACCTACTTGCATATCCAGTGTTCAAAATCAGTTAGCCCACCTATTAGGTACCAAGTTATAAGCCTCATATTTTCAACCTATGTTATAATTTTTTCCTATGTTCCAAATTTTTCTACCTATGTTCTAAAGTTTATTTTCAGCCCTGCAATCACAAGTTCACTACCAACAACCCCTAACCAATTAGCTGCTGCTGCATAAATCAACCACCACACTACAACCCCTACAAACAGGGGCAATCGCACCAACATCACCAATTTGTTCAACCCCTAACTAATTGATGCAAGCAGAATAAGTAATGCCAAGTTGTTCAAGCTATGCTTGCTCATTAATCTTCATACCACCATATGACAACAATAGCCACCATCCATACCACCATATGCAACAAAATCTTCATACAAACATGGCTTCTCCTCTCAATGACAACAATAGCCACCAAATCAAGGCAACATGTACAGCAATCCCGGTCACTCGTATTGTGTCCATTGGTAATCCAAAAGATGACTCAGACTCACTACTCATCAAACTCAAAGTCGATTTCAAGCCATTAAATAACATTGACGGAAGAGTGTTATCACACATATCCATCAACAACAAATACCAGATACATATCCATCAACAAGAAAAAAAACAGTGATTTTAAGAAATACTGGACATTCATATTCATAGCTATAATTTCGCTTACTAACGAAATCGAGCATTTAGCAGACATTTTAAAAAAAACGCAAATATCAACTCACGAAATATCAAAAACAAATCAAAAAAACCATAAAAATCGAAAACAGAAAAACCATTAAAATCGAAAAAATCATCGAAAAATCGAACTAAAAAAACATAAAAACGCAAATATCAAATCACGAAATCGCAAAATCAAATCAAATAGTCGGAAAACATAAAATCGCAAAAATCAAAACAATAAATCGCAAAATGTACTTGAACAACATGCTAAGTTCATGGAAATTTGAACAAAATCGAAAAAAAAAAACGCAAAATCAAATCAAAAAATCGGAAAACATAAAATCGCAAAAAGCAAACCGAAAAATCGCAAAATCTACTTGAACAACATGCTAAGTTCATGGAAATTTGAACAAAATCGAAAAAAAAAACATACCTGAGTCGAAAATCCTTCAAATTGCAATTTCTATGGAGATTTTTGGGGGTTTGCAAAAGAGAATGAGATGAGCACGAAGAGAGAGAAAGTTAGAGGAGAGAGAAAATTTTGATCGGGTGGTAGGGCCGTAGGGGGTATGAGGAAAAATACGTGTTTTAATCTTAACCGTCTAAATTACCTTAATCCTACGGCTGAGATTGGTTCTTATATAACTAGGAATCTTATATAAGGAGGGGTTCTTACCGGATCCCTCCCCTATATATATATATATATATATATACATATATATATACATATATATACATATATATATATACATACATATATATATACATACATATATATATATATACATACATATATATATATATACATACATATATATATATATATATTATTGACACATATAATTATTGGTATTGATAGATTAATCATAGTTTTATATCAATTTTCTCATATTAAATAATTATATGTACGTTAAATAACTTATTATTTTTTTCATCTTTTAAATATTTGTAATAACAATTTTTTTTACAAAATAAGTGGGGTCAATTCACCCATAAACAAGTTTTATCAACATATTTCGTGGCTTGCTATCGTAAGTAATTTATTTATTTATTTTTGATGAAATAATGCTACTGCTGTTAGAGTTTAGAAGGATGATAATGGTGGTGTAAATGAAACAAATAAGCCTATTTTTTTTTAAGAAATGATTTTACCTTGATTATTATAGACGGTTTACTCTAGGTGGCCGGGTGGGTGGGTTTATTTTATTAAACGGTTTCTTAATCTATTAACTAATATTAAAATAAAACATGTTGAAATAATCCTTTTCAAATTGTACACATGTCACTCTCACATGAATTTTTTTTTTCCGCCAATTTGTTAGGATGATGTCATTAATTTTTATTTTTTAAACTTTTACCTTGTTTTAATTTTTTATTTTTTACCTAATAAACTTTTCATATGCTTTACTCTTTGTCCCTGTTGATTTTTTTTTTTTAATTTTTTTTTTTACAAATTTGTTACTATATTCAATGTTCTGAAATGTTCATTGTGATTTTTTTTAATTTTAGAAGTAATATGGCAATATGCTATAATAAAAATTACTTATAATGTAACTTTCTTTCTCCATATTATAAACAAATCTGAAATCTCACAATGAGTTTGTTTAAAACCGTGCATCGCACGAGAATTAAACTAATATAGATAATAAATGGAAAAGAATCTTTAAAAAATTAAATGGAAGAGGAAATAAAATATCAACGGTGAAGGAGGAAATATCGGATGCGAGGAATTCTTCAAAAACCTTAATAAAGTACATTTTTAGGGATTTGAGTTTATTTTCAATTTTTAACACCAATTTCTTCATCATGAAACACACATTCACCATAATATGCAATTGTGGGAGTTACCGACATAAGAAACGCTTGATAGGTTTGTGCCTTGCGCTGCAGGAGTCTTAAATCATTTGTGGGGCAAACAACCCTCTCTCCGACCGCAGAGTGGCTGATTGGATTGGGATAATTAGCAAGGGAAATCGACGTACTCGTATTATTGTTGCCAAGAACAAATGTGATTTGGTTGAAGAAGTCCCCCGTTCAAAAAGGAAGTACAATACTTCTTACCACTCCAATGTGACGGTTGTACACGTATCTGCTACTGATGAGTCGTACTTTTCAGCTATTGATCAGTTTACCAATATTAGAGATGAGATGTTAAACATTGCCCGGCCCATGTTTGAGTTTTCCCTAAAGTAGTTTGTTCAATTAAACGTTTGTTCAAGAATATTCTGAGGTGGACGAACATTTGTTTTAGATCGCTTTACCGAGTCAACCACACTTATGTAAACATTTTTGCTCAAACTTGCGAGTTTGTTGGTTATCACTCAGATATGCATGGTTCTACGACAATTGCTCATGTCTTGATAAGCATTTTTGTTGGTAGAATTTTTGTGTAAATTCTTATCTCAGTTTCATGTTATTTGTTAGGCTATGAATATCTTGTATGAAAATATAGATGCCTGCACTGAAGTTTTTGCTGTTCAAATTTTTAGGTATGTTGTGGACCTTGTGGTTGCTGCAATAATACACTCAATGAATATTCTGGTATGAATATTTTAATTTTTTTTCGATGTTCTTTTTCCCGACAAAAACTATGAAGGAATTTATCTGCAATTTATTGTGACGCATTTTGTGAGTAACTCATGGTTAAGGAGTTGTTGGTGAGACCAATTGCCTTTTGTTTCTCTTCTCATTCAGTTGTGTTGGACATTACGGTGCTATAGATGTTTGCTTCTTACTGGTCTTGTTTAAGGATTATTTGCTATCTCAAATCAATTTTGGTTGTTAATGTGTTAAGGGAATTGTGATATTGGACCTATTCTATTTCAAATCCGTGAACCACCTGGTGAACCTTTCTGTCAGGTTAGATGTTCGTGAAAGGAATGGTGTCCTTCCAATAAGTGTATTATTCTGATAGAGGGTTCAGAATTATTACATAGCTAATTCTTCAGTAAGGTCAAGTGATCGAAATGCCTAGGTGGAGGCCGCTTCCGATCAGTAATATTAAGGTACAATTAATATTACAGCTTAATCTTAACTGAACCCTTCGGGTCGAACCCAATCGAACAACCGATCCGAGACGACGAATTAATCCGAAGGATTTAATGAGTCGACAGAGTTTTACCAATATAAATGTCGGATATCGAGCCTAGAGCGTCGAGACCGAGCGTCGCAAAATCACAAGCAACAAGTACAAGCATAGCCGTAGCTAGGCTAGGCTACCTCATCGCAAGCCTAGGCGCACCATGGTGTGCTAGGCGCGCCATGCGTACTAGGCGCAAGCCTAGGCACTATCGCAGCCCATCGCAGCACAATCACAACACCATCGCATGGCTAGGCCCGTGCGTGTGTGCGTGTGCTTGTGCCTTAGCCTATCGCACCAGCATGGCTGCGCATATGCGTGCCTTCGCATGGCACTGCATCGCAGCATGCGCGCCTGGGTGTTAGGCACCATCGCAGGCCCCTCGCACAAGCACAGAACCATGCTAGGCCTTGTGTGCGTGTGCGTGTCCTTATGCCTAGGGCCATCGCAAGCCATCGCAGCATCACATCACCAAACTTCGCATGCTTGTGCGTGTGGCTGGCGAGGCGATGCCCAACATGCGTGGCTCGCTAGCAACACGCATGCTAGGAGCGCCTAGCACTGGCATGCACCAGCAGCACAAGCATCGCCCAGCGCCAGCACGCATATGCTGGCTGGGATGCAAGGCTGCTGGCTGAGCTGGCGTGCTAGCTGGCTAGGCTAGCTGGCACTGCTAGCTGGCTGCCAGCCCAGCAGCCCTCTATGCCGGTTTTGTGAGGGTGGGACCAAGGCTTGGGAAAAGCCTTGGGGAGCAAGGCAATGGTCCCCCCCACCTCTTCATGGTCCTCACCTAACTCTCTCTCTCCCCTTGACACTTGTTGCATTGTGATTGATTTGATTATTAATTTAATTTGAAATTAAATTAATTGTCAAAATTATTCATTCTCCCACATTGGTTGGGAAATGAAAATCAAGGGTGCATTTCCCTATAAATACCAAAGGCTTGGGTATTTGGGAAAAACAACCTTGAGTGGAATTAAAAAGGCAACTCTTGATTTGAGTAAACCTTGATTCGTAAAACTCATAGTTTTTATTTGTCCGAGTCTCGACTAACCTTTGAGACTTAGGACGTTCGGGTCGGGTTCGAGGGTACGATCCCGTTGGAGACCTCGTATTTTCGGGGTTCAAGTAAGAGCTCATTGTTGAGCGAAGCACCCGTCAAAGGTATAATCTTTTATCCTTTCTCGTGTTTAATTATGTTTTGCTTGCTAATTGCATTTATTATGGGGGCGGGTCTTGGCAGGTTTCTTTCCGCGTAGTGAGGGTCACTACAAAACCCAACAGTTCGTATGTTACTTTGTATTAAATGATTTTAGTTATGAAGTTTCTTAATGCTTCATGCAAATAATATATTAGTATATTGTTCCTTGTGCAATATTATCTAAAGACTGGAACTTGTAAATTTGGTACTACTTGCAAGTTTAATCATCCACGAAATGTTGGTGGATCATAGACTAAATGCTCCACTGAATATCCATGGTTATCCTCTACGACCGATTTGTACTTAATCGTTCTGCTTGCATTTAAAGTGTATTCATGTGTTTTATGTTTTCAAGTCTACTTTTACAATTTTGAGAAGTAGCGCTTACGATGTGTTTCTTTTCTTGATAGGGTGAGAATGCTCCTACTATTTGAAAATGGTAGTGCGATTTTGGGATAACTTGTACCTTTTGAACCTTGTTTTCGTTATTAATTGACATCAAAGTTCATTTTTTAACCTATTTTTATGCAAATTTTGTACCATCATGCTTTACGGGTTCTTTGTATTTTTGATGTAATGTAGCTATTTTTAGCACTATGGATGTGATCAAGCATGAGTGAGCAA